AAGAGGGAAGGGATAAAAAGTTGGTTGTACAACAGAGAGTGGAAACTATTGGATCTTTAGGTGTTATGGTTGTTGCAACTACCACAGCCTATGTTTATGTTAAAACGAGGAATCATTGATTGATTTACTAAAGTTAAGGTCGATTCACTATTCAAACTACTGGAACCTATAGATAAGGAGTGTCTAATTTTGCGCTTCATTACTTTGATCGAGTCTATTATTATATTGGATGTAACTTTAATTTTGTCATTTGCTCTCAAGTTTTGATGGTCTTCTATTAGTTGAGTTGTTAGCATATGATTTACTCATGGTTCAATAAGGCACGCTTAGGCGCAAGGCAATGGCAAAACGCCTCGCCTAGGGATTTCGCGCCTAATTAGATACCGGAACACGTTAATGGAGTACGGCGACATATGAGTCTCTCCTAAACATTACTAGATGGAGCTAAGAAGTCAATATTAAATATCAAAATTAACATCAACTATGAAATCAATTATCTATTGCAATATTTTCAATAGCTCAAGAACTTTGTGAAACTATTGAGCTATGATTCTATGAACTCGTAAGCTATATTCCTGTCATTAAGTGTTGAGTAAGTTATTAATCATTTTAACTGAAGTGAGGAAATGTTGTAGATTATTATTTCATTCATCATGCACTGCGAATAACTATTTTCTTCCAATGCCTAGACACGCTTAGTCAACGCCTAGGCGAACTAGGCGCAAGGCAAAGGCTCAACGCCCGCTTTACGCCTAGCGCCTTTGTGAACCTTCATTTACTTGAATCAACAACTCTTTTTTTTTTACAAAATATAATCATATATTGATCGAAACATAGCCACTTACATCCTGGAATTCAGTCAGGCCTGGAAATCAAGGAAATGACTCATAGTCGGGTACAAAGAAAGGGCCTTGCGAGCTACCAAATGAACTACCCAATTGTTCCTTCGACCTACAAATCGAACACTAGTGGGTTATCAATCAACGGTAACTGCACCCCCTTAAAAAGGAGGATCTCGCGGGTCGGAGACATGAAGACCATCCCCTCTGCCGAATGAAAACCAGTCCTAACAGCCTCATCCCACATACATACCGCCAGAGCTGGATCCACTGGATTATGAATATTAGGAGAACGGGGGACTTGGTCCCTAGGAAGGCAAACCCACTCCTGGACCTGCTGGTTATACTGTCGCATCAAGGCTGCAATCCCAAACTACTTGCCTTTAAACACAACCCAGTGCGAGATCGCAGATTCTCCATAGGACAGCAATCACCGCAATGAACAAATGTTTTTGGTTTACTAATGTCAGCAACTTTTTCAAAAAGAGCGGGAAGGTATGTCTAGGCACCCCAGCAAACCGGACACCTAGGTAAAACCGCGATCTGTTTTTCGATTAACGCCTCTGTAGTGGGCAATATCCTCCAAAATATCTGCCATACAAACACCTTCAATTTAGGGGGAATACCGCATCCCACAACCGAATCCAACTTGCTCTATCCATCCAACTAACCATGGAACTCCACCTGCCTCGCTGCTGGTACAAAGTAATCGCAAAATGGTATGCAGATTTAACAGTAAATACTCCATCAGAAGTAGCATGCCATACCAAACGATCCTCTACATCTTGAAGAGGCAGCGAGATCTCCCTAATAGCTTTGCAGGTCATAGGGTCAAACTATTGCCTGAGCTTAGCATCACACCACCGCCCCTCACCATGTCAGATTACCTCAGCCACCTTCAACTCCACCCCCTCCGGTAATACACAGGGATTATATCTAGGGGGAAGCGGATGCTAGTGGGGGATCCAATTAGAATTTGGCAGGGAGGCCTTCCGGCCATTGCCAATTTGCCAACGTAAACCCGTTACCAAAAGATCCCGACCAAAGAGGATATTCTGCCAGCCCCACAAAGGTCTAGACCGAGCCGCCGCCGAGAGAAATGAACCCTGAGGGAAATACTTCCCTTTATAAACCTGAGCAAGGAGGGATTCAGGCCAATTTAAAATTCGCCACCCAATTTTAGCCAAGAGAGCCTGATTAAAATGTTCAAATCGACGAAAACCCATCCCCCCTTCATGCTTACTCCTGCACATATACCTCCAGGAATCCACCAAATTTTGGACTAGCCCTCCTGGACACCCCACCAAAAGCGGGCGACATGCTTATCTAAAAGGCGACAAAGAGCCAAAGGTAATTTGAAGCAGGACATGACATGCAAAGGTAGGGCCAAAGCTACAGACTTTATCAAAGTTTATTTGGCAACTTCTCTTCCAGATAGTGGAATGCTACCATTTTCGAACAGGCTATCAAAGAAGGGAGACCCAAGTACTTCTCCTAGACCCCTAAAGCACCCACCCCTAAAATCTCCGCTAGGAATTCGTGATCTGCTGGCACAATGTTTTTGCTAAAACAGACCGCTGATTTATCCAGGTTTACTCGTTGGCCACTAATTTCTTCACACTCATTCAGAACCTCAAGAAGATTCTCGCATTCCTGGAGGGATCCTTTGAGGAATAAATAAGAGTCATCCGCAAAGAACAAATGTGAGATTCGGGGAGCCCTAGGAGCCACCTTAACCACTTCCAGCTTGCCTTCCAAAATGGCTTTCCTAAGTAAGGCAACAAAGCCCTCCGTGCAAAGCACAAAGAGGAGAAGTAAGAGAGGATCCCCTTGGTGGAGTCCTCTGGAGGGGGAGAAGAACCCAGACGGCGTACCATTCATGAGGACATAAAAAGTGGTTGAACGGAGACACTCGTATATCCAACCTTGCCAGACAGAGCTAAACCCCATCTTTTCCAAAACTGCCAGAAGGAACGACCATTCGACTCTATCATAGGCTTTTTCCATGTCAACCTTCAGAGCCATGTATCCCTTCTTACCACTAGTTTTGATTTTCAGATAATGCATTAGCTCATGGACAAGGAGGATATTATCAACGATCTGTCTTTCCCGGATAAACGCATTCTGACCATCAGAAATGACTTGAGGCAGTAATCCTGCTAGCCTTTCTGCCATAATTTTGGTTATTACTTTATACACAAACTGGCAAAGACTGATGGGACGGAGCTGTCGCATTGTCTCCACTTGCTCTACCTTGGGTATCAGGGTAAGTCAAGTGTGATTAAAGCTACGAAGCATCCTACTTGTCGCAAAGAAGGAGCAGACAGCATCAACCACAGAGTCACCGACAATTCCCCAGAAAGCTTTAAAAAAATTCCCCGTGAATCATCTGATCCTGGCGCCTGCTTCGAGCCCATGGAGAAGACCGTTTTGCGGACTTCACAAGGGAGGACCTCAGTGGTCAGACTAGCATTCATTTCCGAGGGTAACGCTAGAAGCAATGGGGAGTGCAGCCACCCTCTCAAACATATTTTGAACCTGATTTTCCAAAGTGAAGAGGGATTGATAGAAGTTATTGGCTATATCATCTTTCCCGTGCTCCTCAGAAATCCACTCACCCATTTCATTACGGAGGCCATAAACAAAGTTCTGCTTCCGACGGGCTCTAGTGATCGTGTGAAAGTAAGACGTATTTTTTCTCCCTTTTCAGCCAATGGACACGAGACTTCTGCTGCCAATAAGTTTCCTCTACTTCCCACTGTCTATTAAGCTTAGATTCCAGCCTGTTAACTTCATGCCAGTTGATAGGATGAATAGCCTTAATACGCTCAATTTCCGCTTGCAGGGTATGGATATTCCGAAGGGAATTAGTATACCAGCCCTGCTCCAATCATAAAGCAAAAGGCGAAGTTTCTTCAATCTCTCCCAAAGTTGGAACATCGTAGTATCATTAATTTTCTCCTGCCAGACATAAGCCACCATGGCTTTGACTTCTGGGTTTTCAGCCCATCGAGCATCAAAGTGAAACAGAGGGCGACGCGTTCGAACATAGGGCTTATCGGAGAGAAGAAGAGCCCGATGGTCCGCACCTTGATCAGTGAAGTGTTTAACAAGAGTCTCTGGATACCGGTCAATCCAGTTCTGAGAGCATAGAGCTCTGTCAAGTCTTTCCCGAATACAAGCCAGACCCATACATCAATTTGCCCAAGTGAAAGGATCGCCCTGGTAGCCTGGATCATGTAAACCCAGGTTTTGGACAAAATTCTGAAGACCAATTGATTGGGAAACATTCCATGGGTTACCACCATCCTTTTCATAATCATTAAGGGTAGCATTGAAGTCGCCAATGATCACGAAGGGAAGCTGAATCCCCTCGCAGATTTCGCGCAACTGGGCTAATTGGGTAGTTCGAATGGTATCATTATAGCTCATATAAACACAAACCACGACATACGAAGAACCACTTTCATTAATTCTGGAACAAATGCAAAAACTCGAATGAAAAAAATAGAAGCCTCAATCTCGGGGGACCTACAACTAGACCACCAGAGCCATTAACGACATTAACAAAAAAAAACAATGAGGAGAAACAAAACCTAAAACCCGCAAACGCCGGGAAACTACTCTCTGGCACGATCTTGTTTCTGAAAAGAAAACAATGTCTAGTTTATTTGAACTAACTAACCCTATAGCAGTTTGGAATGTGAGGGATGGTCCAATTCCTCTCACATTCCAGGCCAATAGCCTCATTTAACTAGTTGGGGCCACTCCAGGCTGGCTTCCTCCACCTTCTCTGATTCCTGCATGTCTTCAACAAACTGCTTCTTAAGGGTGGGATCGTCTTCAAATTCCCCACCCATTTCCTGCAACGGGTGCTTCCGGTTACTGGTCGCGGCACCATCAAAAAAGAGTCATACTCATACAATTTCATAACCATCTCCCCCTCCGCATTCTCCAGCAATTCTTTATCCTCATTGATGATCATACCTGCCACAAAAGCAGCAACCACCTGTCTAACTTGGCCAAAGTTAGCACAACCAGGGTCCGCAGGAGGCGATCTACATTTGATCATAAACTGATCCTCATCGTCCCCCGAGGTAGGGGTCACTGATGCCTCTCTTACAGCACAATTTTCCACCACGTCGGCAGGCGCCTGCTTGTCTACCAACGTAGGAGATATAGCTTCAACGGGACAATCCACAACAGGGGCTTTATCCTTAGTTCTAGCTCGGTACCCTTTTCCTTTCCCAACACGGGCCGGACCTTTGGTCTTGGCAGTTGTGCCAACTGCAGAGAGAGATCGAGCATCCCTCTGCTACAGCTGGGGGCCATGATGGAAGTCGAACTCTTCTTCGAAATGACCCCCACGGAACTACCAGAACCCAGCTTCACCAACTTTTTGTCTTTCTTCTTTGTTTTTTCCGCATGATCAGAAACACGCTCCTTCATGGGCCGCATGGGGAACATTTTCGCTGCCAGGTCGTCATCCGAGTCTTCGAAAATCAATAGTCTTCGCTGCACCTCAACTGGCGGCAGTTGTGTCATCATGTTTGCATCTTCCCTGGGTGCTTCGAGCTGCTCAAGTTCCGAATCCAGAAACCCTTCCACCTCCCTTCTTGCTCGTGCCACAGCATGCTCTCCTTAGCACCCGTGTCCACCCTGGCCGCTTTTTCATTGCGCCGCCACGAGAAATAAACTCGAAGAGGGGATCTCGCTGGGGAAGCAACAATCTGAGATCGACCCATCATGATCTTAGGTGATCGTGTTAAGGAGAAAACCCAAGGACTCTAGCGCCAATATATATTCACTTTCCCGGAGGATTAGCAGCTACCCCAGTAGATTATCGAGGACGTGCTGCAGAGGGCGGGAATGAGAAAGGTGTGCGTCTCCAAACACCGATTGCTTTCAAGTAGCATCTTTTTTGTCATTCATGGGCTCGCGATAATCCATGTTCACCCACACAGAAGTCGAGCCGCGATAGAAGGATTGGTTATGATCATCTGTGTCATAGATCCTTAATCCCAACTTCTTAGTCGACATATGTGGGCCGAAATTCTCCTTGCGGGTCGGCGGATCAAAGGAGCAGGCTCGCTGCGAGTGACCCACCCACAATGGTAATAAAAAATCGGAAGATGTTCGTATTTGAGTTGCACCCAGAAGCATCTCGTGAAATCAATCAACGTTTTCACTTTCACAAACCAGTGACCTATGTCCTGGCAAGCAAACACCCATGATTCCAAAACGTTTCCAATAGTGGTATTCGCCACTTTCCAGCCAAATTGTTGCATGCAACAATCCTCATTCACATCCCAAAATTGAATCCGGAATGGAGCAATTTCAAAGTCATCAAAAAATTTCTTCGTGATGCAGGAGTCCATGGGCATAGGTGGAGTATCTTGTCGTTGATTACCCATGGAGTCCTTTTGAGGACCCAGATCTTCGCCTCCTCACTTGGAAGTATAAACTTGATCAGGCCGTGCTTGGCCATTACCACCCTGATTCGGCCATGAATTAGCCAGGGAGTGATCACTGATTCCCGAAGCTCCGTCGTTGATATCCTGTTCTCAGTGAAGAGGCGGCCAAGTAGAGAGTGAGCAGCCCGATATTTTGTTGATTGAACCTCCTCCATCGAGAACTAAACCACCTGGTTGTAAGACACGTGAGCCATTTTGCGAATATGTGGGCAAAGAAAATTGGAGTTAGGCTGGAAAATTTCCACCGCAGGTGGTGACGGGCACGACACGTCCATGCCGGTCGAGACTACGCCATGTCCGGGGTTTGGTGGAGAGCAGGCCAACGAAATCTTAATTAACCGGCCATGCATGGACATAGACGAACAACCGAGCGCCGGATTACGTAAACGACGGAGGAGAGGGGAGAAGTGAAAGAACCTGAGCGAGGGGTGCACCTGGAAGAATGGGTGTCGTCCTTAACTACCGCAGAAACCCTTACTCCAATATGATAATATAATAGAGTAGTAGGGCTAAGATGCGTAGCTTTATAGGGGCGACACCTATATGAACCAGGATTCCCAGTAACCACTAGGGTAAGGGTTTTTAGAGTTAGACTGGCAATGCTTGAGACAGAGTGTCGAGCCTCTGTCCTTGCTGTTCGAGATGCCGCTTGATCTTCTCGAAATGGGCTTGGAATACCAGTCCGAGCTGGGATAACAGACTACAGAAACTCGGTGGTGTTGAATTGAATCGCCATTGGAGACCCATCGTCAATTGCCTCGTTGGAGTCAATTTCTTCCTCTGGTTTCCGTCGAACGGTAGGGTCTCAAGAGACAGGTCCTTTGGACCTCGTCCAACACGTCATGTCCACTGTGTTTGAACCACGCTCTGATACCAGTTAATACGACCCTCACAGGGTATTTGGCTCTCAATTCTCGAGCTTGGAAGGCAGGCTCTGAATTGAGTCGCTCAATTCCAACTACTTGTCAAAGAAGAACGAGGTAAGATGGGAATTCGATGTGCAATCCTACACCTGGAGGAAGGCTCAACGAATATAAGTCGATGCTCGCCCACGATCAATGCGATTTTGATCGATACAAGAGCTTGATGCGAGCTTGGTTTTCTAGGCCAAACTCTGAACCAAAAACTAGTGATGAAATTAAGTTTTTAGGGTTTTTAATTCTCAGTCAATCCACCAAAATCAATATTACAGACCCTTGGTGATGCTTAAATATAGCTCACAATTTAACCTAAAACGAAAACAGAAGCTAAAACCAACAAGGAAACTCAAAACAAGCTAATCCGAATACAACAAGGATTCCAACTCTGCCTTTTTGCCCAAGTCACCAAACAGGCTTCCATACCATCTTTGAGCCACTCGATGGAAGTCTTCCAGGTAAGCTAGGGTTCATCCAATTCCTTTCCTTTGTAGATTAACATGCATGCTTTCATGGGGTAAGAAGCTCCTGACTCGATTCCCGGCAAGATTTCTCGAGGAGAGCTTCAAAGTGGGCTTCACAAACCTGTTTTTTGCCTTAGCCCTTTTCAGGAAATTTTAAGGTTTCTTCATAGCATGTTTGTGCGTCTGGATAGTGACCTTCTAGGCTTCAGTTCGAGCTACCAAGCATACCAGCAAAGAGATAAACTTCTTAAGAACAAATCAAGTTGTCAAACTCCTATTTCCAGCAAACCAGTTGAGAGAACCGTCCCTCCAAAGTCGTCTACATGAAACACCAAAAACACTTGGACAGATTTTGCGGTTTAACTTTGATTCTTCAACAATCAAGCCTGAATGAAGTAGTAATGATTTCAGGATTTTATCAGGACCTCCCATATATGGTGAGTTCTACTGTACCCAAGGTATATGGTGGCTTCTACGGTACCCCGGTTAAAAACCCAGGGTACCACATACCTTAAGTATGAAAGCGTTATCTCGACCTCGAATTTACAAAAAATTTGGCCCTGATACTATACCTTAACCATTAATTAGTGAACCCTAGGTCCTAATTATCTAAATCATAAACTATAATCCCTGAGATGGTGCATTCATTTTTTTGTCTATACTTGGACGAATCATAACCGTCGATTATTGTTTCTAATTAAATTGATCTTGGGGTATAAGATTTAACGAATTAAGGCCTAGATTTTGATCTTTAATGGTTATAGTATAACATCATGTTCAAAAGATTAGTCAATTCAAGGTCTGGATAGCATTTTCATACTCAGGGTATGCGGTACGCCGGATTCTACCCTAGGTACCATAGAACTCATCATATATAGCCAAAGTTAGGCGTACTCTTATCGTTTGTTCAATAGCTTGGTGATCAACGTGTTTTACTTAAAAAATTTGTATTTTGGACCTTTAGATCTTGTATTATCTTGTATCTTGCTAGAACGCAAAAAAAAAAAAAGAATTCCCCATCGCCATAACCAAAACCGTATGCCTATAAGTAGAAAGAGACCTACTTACTTCAAGGCATCCACCTCCTCATTCCCCCAAATCATCAACCAGCAGCCATGTCAGCTCACAAGCAGCCTCACATGGTTCTGATGCCGAGCTCCGGTGCCAGCCACGTCATCCCTTTCCTGAAATTAGCCGGAGCCCTGGCGAGCCAAAACTGCCGAGTCACACTCATCACCTCCCACCCACTCGTTTCAAAGGCCAAGTCGGCTCTCATCACCCGCTTCCTTCCAGCCTGGTTATTCTGCTAACTGCATAAGTTGTTAGTATATACTAACTAATATTCAAAATATATAAACTAGTATCCATGTGTGCTGATTTTACTAAAATATCTAAATAGCACAGACTAGTATTCAAAACATCACAAACTAGTATCCATATAGCAGATACCAACTAATATCTACAATCAACCAACTAGTTTTCAATATGGATACTCTTATGTGTTATCTGGATACTCTTATGTGTTATCTGGATACTAATTATATTTGTATGGATACTATTCAGGTTGTCTAGATATTAGTTTGTGAATTTGAGATAATAGCTGATTCATGGTGGATATTAGTTAGCAAACCTTGAATACTAGTCTGTGCTCTCTAGATACTTTAGTATTTGAATACTAGTTCATGTATTTTGGATATCAGTTAGTATTTGCTAACAAATTTTCAAATTAGCAGATTAACTTTCCTCGCTTCCTTTCTCTTTACCCTCACGTCACCGAGAAGCTGGGTGAAAATCTAAAATGAAATCACCTTTTCGGCCTATGATAACTGCTATGATACTTTACTAATTTACACAGACACGGAGACACATACAATTCACTGCCCCTCATACGTCAATTCGTTCGTCAAATAAATATTCGATTCATTCACACGCAATTCATTGCCATCTTTTTATGTTCTTATTTACAATGCGTATGCAAATCCGCAAGAGCTCAATTTTGAGCTCAACTTCCTATTGTTGGGGTTTATTTTGTTGCTTGTTTTCTTTTGGGTGGTAGTTTATGTGTCCTTTTCCTTTTGATTGTCTAGTCTTTTGATTTTCTTATTCTTGATTAGTAAATTGAATTCCCTATTAGTTATTTTGTGTAAGACAATCATTAAGAATAGGCGTGACAAATTATAATCCGACCCGTTGACCAGACCCGAACCCATCCAAAAAGTAGAAGTTTTTATAACCCGAACCCGATAACTCGTGATTTTTTGGGTCGGGTTGGGTGGGTTAGCGGGTCAACCTGTTAGACCCGTTCCATTTTATATATCACTCCTAAAATGATAAAATCACTCATAAATTGGTGAGATGTTTAAAAAATTCACAAGGACATTTGAATGACATGTTTGGAGTTTCTGGATAATCAAATATCTTGTGTTTCTTGTAGTAGTATTACTCTTGTGATTGTTTTTTGACGATTGCGCAATTTGTATTTCATTACATTAGCATGAGAGTATTTGACAATATGTTAATTGACATGTGTTAGGTAAACTATTGTCATGCATATGTGAAAATTTTTGTTCTTCAAGAAAATATGAAGCATGTTTGATATTGTTTTTGAGAGCACTCATAAGCCGACCCGAAACCGAATGAGATGGATCAATATTTGACCCCAAATCAGCCAACCTAATATGACCCGACACGTAATCGAAGGCCTCAATCCGAAATTACCCAACCCGACCTGATTGTCATGTCTAATTAAGAAGATGCTGAGCAGTCATGATCTTAGGTTTTTTGTGCAGATTTTTCTAATAGTTATTGGAATTTACGACTAGTAAAGCACCATGACAGCCAGTACGAAAATCAAACTTTATATATTGTTTAGCCCGATCGATTGACCAATTCATCAGGCTGATTAAATTTTTGTTCGGTTAATTTGATAAATTTGATTAAGATCATTTATTTCATAATTAGTAAAATTTATAGTTAATTGATTCGATAATTATCATGGTAGTCAATTCAACCCTCGCAGGCCGAATTCCAGTTTGCCACAACCAAAGCCGTATGTCTATAAATAGAGACCTACTTACTGCAAGGCATCCACCTGAAATTTTCAACCAGCAGCCATGTCAGCTCACGGCCACCAGAACAAGCAGCCTCACATGGTTCTGATGCCGAGCTCCGGCGCCGGCCACGTCATCCCGTTCCTGAAAGTAGCCGGAGCCCTGGCGAGCCAAAACTGCCGAGTCACACTCATCACCTCCCACCCACTCGTTTCCAAGGCCGAGTCGGCTCTCATCACCCGCTTCCTCACTCTGTACCCTCAAGTCACCGAGAAGAAATTCCATCTGCTCCACCTCCCTCCAAATCATTCTTCTTCCTTCACCGACCCTTTCTTCCGACAATGGGAACTCATCCACCTCTCCCTTCCTCGTCTGTCCGACGTCCTCGAATCTCTGTCTCCGCCGGCAGATGCTCTGCTTTCCGACATAACCTTGATGTCTTCCACCATTTCAGTGACTGAAAGTTTGAACATTCCTAACTACGTCCTCTTCGTTAGTTCGGCGAGGATGTTTGCTTTCTTCGCCTACTACCCTGCTCTTTCCGATGCTCTTTCCAATTCGGCGGACACCGATCTTGAAATCCCTGGGTTGGAAGGATTGCCCAAATCCTCTGTTCCTCCAATGCTTCAGGACACCACCTCGCCCTTTGCCACCATGCTCAGGTCATAATGATTAAAATCTATTGTCTTGATTAAAGTTTCTGTCTTGATTAAATTAATAGGCGACATGTTAATTAATTTTGAAAGATCAATGAAATTGCAAGCAGGGCCAACAGCGATTGCATCAAGAAGTTCGACGGATTTCTGATGAACACTTTTGATGCACTGGAGGGGAGAACGTTGAGTGCGCTTAAATCCTGGAAAATTTTTGATGGGATGCCACCGATCTTCGACTTTCTGTTTCCACCATGGGAGCCAGAGGAGGTGATGAAGGGAGGCAGAGCAGCAACGTGGAAGAGATGGCTTGATGAGCAGCCCCCAGCCTCTGTTGTGTATGTGAGCTTCGGAAGCAGAACGCCCTTATCCAGGGAACAAACCCTCGAGGTCGTCAAGGGGTTGATTAGTTGCCACTATCCGTTCATGTTGGTAGCAAAGGGTTCGGTTGTTGACAAGGATGATGGGGTGAGCTTGCAGCAAGTTCTCGGGGAAGATCTCGCTCATCAGGTAAACAGTCGGTTTATGCGAACAAGACTTGGTCTGGTGGTATTATCACTGGTTTTAATTCTCGATGTCACAAATTCGAATTTGTTATGTGACACCTTACTGTAAATCGTTTTGTTCTGACCATGATAACGATGAATGAGCAGATGGAAGAGAAGGGTGTCGTGGTGAAGGATTGGGTGGATCAACTGGAGATCATTGGGCACAAGTCCGTAGGGGGATTCGTGACACACTGTGGATGGAGCTCGATCGTCGAAGCGTCCTCGTATGGTGTTCCGATGCTCGGTTGGCCTCAGGTTGGGGATCAGGGGATAACAGGGGTGGCAATGGTTGAATGTGGGGTGGGGATGCTGGGAGGGAAGTGGGGATGGAATGGGGAGTTTGTGGTGAAGGGGGAGGAGATTGGGATGCGTATTAGGGAGATGATGGAGAACCAGAAGTTGAGGTCTCGAGCAGCGGAGGTCATGGAAGACATAAACAAGGCTGTCGCACCTGGTGGTGTATGTGATCGGACTCTAAAACATTTCCTAAACAAGTTCAAATCTTAGATGTGGTGTACCAATAAGTTTATCCCGATGAGGATTATGGTTTCAGGGTTTCATAATAGGTTGCAAGAAGATTGTCAATAAATTGTAATATGTAATGTGCTTGAGGGATAAGATCAACGTGTTTCGGGGAAGCTTGCAAGCAATAAGGTGTTGAGTGGTGTTTTGCAATTAACAAGTAAAGTATGTTAAAATATCACATGGTAGGATCCATCATTTTATCAAGATAACAAGCTCATTACTCTAGCAGGTGAAACTAGCTATCAAATTGTAAGACTTTGTTTGTGTTAGGTGTTTACTTAATTGAGTGATGTGCAACAAATTTCATTTGTAATTTATTCTAAATCCCATATCATTTTCGCTAATACCAAAAATGAATCCGCAAGAGCTTAATGGACCATCTTAGTTGGTATGTGTGTGTGACAGAGAGGGAGAGAGAGAGATTGAGCTCAACTTCCTATTTGTAGACACCACTTTTTGTCCGGGTTAAAACATATCTAATTAAAAATAAATAGTTTCGATTTAAGGTTTGCAATAACGAATCTTGAATGACCTTCTACCTAAATCATATATTTAGAGCTTGGGTTGAGTCTTGTTTGCCATAAGTCTTTTGAAATTAGGCAATAGCAAATTTTGATGCAATTCATAGTAAATAGCAAATTTCAATTGATGCAATTCATAGTGAGAGTTGAGATGTGTTGCTTTGGTTTTCGAGTTAGGCAATTTAACATTCGTGCAAGTTGATATTTGAATTGGTTCTTAAAACGTAGGGTCTAATGAGATTTGAGACTCAATTTCGTAACATTAAAAATTTAGGAATAGAAATAATGATCTTATTAAAATAAATTACAATTTACAAGATAAAACTACAAATACAATGTTGGTATATACTAATCTAAACAACTATTACATTCATTTACAAATAAGTTCAACAAACAAAAAAATTAAGTCTAAATTCAAATCCAAAGTCAAAGTCAACTGGTCAATTCAGTCTAACAAAAGTCAAGTCAATCAACCCGGTCAGGTCTGACCAAATCTAGACCGGTCCGACCAAAACCGTGACCGGTCTGACCCAAACTGTTGCTGTTGCTGTTGCTGTTGCAAGCTTGGGGAACAAGCTTCCCTTATCTATAAAAAATCTGCTCCTTCTTTTTCAAAGGGGACAGGGCAGAAAAAAAAATAGAGGAAGACTTCCATCACCTCTTTGAATACACGGAACAGAAAAAAAAAACAGAGAGATGGCCTCTCTCCTTTCGGATCCCTTTTCCTTCTCACAACTCACAAGCAGTAGAACAAAAAGGGAGACTCTTGGCTTCTTCTTCTCCTTCTTCGGCTCCTCCTCGAAGAAAACTCTGCAGAAAAAAGAAACTTCATTAGTCCCTTTTTTCTTCTGGCTTGCTGGTACAAGAATCACAGCAAGAAACCAGTTTCCCTTTTCTCGAACACACAGGCAGAATCCAAGAGGAAAATTCTACTTTCCACTCCTTTTTCTTTCTTAACCACAAGCATACAAACAACAAAACACCCAAATACCCGAATATCACCTACAAAAGAGGAACAAAGGAAGATAGCAAAGATAAAAAGAAAGGAAACAGCAGCAAAAGAAGCAGAGGGCAGCAGCAAGAAGGGTACAGAAGGGAGCAGGATCATCAACAAGCATCCAAAGGTTGGTTTCTAATCCAACCTTTATTATCAATCATCATCATGACATAATCGTTCACTTCTACTCTTCTTAACAAAGAGATTTGAGAGGAAATCATAACTGATTCCCTCTAAGCAAACAACAAGTCGATCTAAACACTTTAACATGAATCAAAGTCTGAATATCTTTCCCTTTTAAACATTTCACATCATTATAATCCAACTACTTACTACAGTTATCATCCTTGTACTTATTTTCATCTCATATTCTATCTCTATAAACTAGATAGCATACATGTATTTCCATTCAAGTTAGCTTTCTAGATTTGTTAATACTATGTAATTAGATGTTTCATCTATCACCTCGTTTAAACTCCTGTTATGTTGTTACCTTTTTTTAATCCCAAATATGTACAGATGGTAGTGAAATCTATTAAGCTGCCCTTTTTTATCTAAGTATGTACAGATGGTAATGAAATCTGTTGTCCACTACATACATAAGCAAAAGCAGTTAAAACCATTAGAAACACACCACAAAATCCAACATTAAAATCGACCATAAATCCCCAGAATCTTGCCACTACCGCCACAAAACTAGATTTCTAGAATTCAATACCACAAATACGAATTTCAAGTAGCATTTACTTCATGCATACCATCAACTCCATTATCAAATCACCCCCAAACTCATACAAATTACAACCCAGATCCTAAACTGAAAAACTTACCAAAACCAAGTTCCCTCATTTTGTCATCATCGTTGCCGGCGAAGCTCAGAGCTGTCGACGGCGTCCCTGTTCTTCCTTTCGTTCTCGCTGCTTCTTCCCCTCATCATGATCGAAAACACCCCAAACCCCTATATATACCAAAAACCAAAATCCCAAAAATAACAAAACCCAGTCATACATACAAATCCCCAGTTTCAATACCGATGTAAACAACCACAATTTTCCAGAATTCATACTCAATCATCTCAAACCAAAATTTCTAGAATTAAAACCAGCAAAACAAAATTTCTAAATTCGGACCCAGAATCTTACTCACCTGCCAAGTCTGCCGTCGGCAACACTGTCAGTGCTCGTCGGCGGTGACCCTCTTTCTGTCCAGTCATGCTCTCTCTCCGCCCTCTGCCAATATGGAAGAAACCAAAAAATACAATCAGAACCCTAAACAACCCCTAAATCCAAACCAAACCCCTTAAAACCGACATGCATGTGAATGAAAATGATCTTACCTCCGTCACCCTCGTTGGTGTCGTCATCGGTGTCGATCGCCGTCTTCCTTTAGCTGCTGTCGCCCGTCCCTTCGGTCCTTCCCCTCGTTGTTCCTAGGGAAGAATAGAGGAAAGACAGGTCGAGGAATGGGAGTCATGAGGAGATGGATTGCGAAGAAAGAAGAGGTGATCGAGTGAGAAGAAGAATGGAAGGAGAAAGGTTTGTTTCGTTCTTTCTTTTGTTGGATCGTCGATTGTAGAGGATGAAAAAGGAGAGGTAGAACGAGTGAAAAAAGTGAGCGGCTAGGGTTAGGTCTCCAAAAACGGGTTCACACACCCGGATTCCTAAAATGACCAAAATACCCCTCTAATTTCGACTAAATTACCCGCTGCCATAACTAATTGCTTCAGGTCAGGAAAACAAACCACTAAGCTATGCTATCATACTTGAAACTTCAATCTCCTCATCTACTCTTCTCCGTGTTTAACGTTAATACATAATATTTGTGTCATCTAATCGTGTTAGGATTTTTGCTTTAACCAAATTATGTATATCTCTAAACATTTCAAGATATTAAAAACCTTCGTTACCACATTCGCTTTGGCTTCATTATTCATACCCATGCTCGTTTTACTTAGAAAATATCTTAATACGAAATCATGATAAATAAACCATAATAGTTACTCTCGATGGAATCATTTGAAAGATGTTTTTACCATTCAACTACTAAGTTGAAAAATCATAAATCCATTTCCTAACAACTCATATAATCTTAATCGCAATTAATAGAACGTGTCTAAGATCACTTCATAAAAAAAAACCCTATCAATTCTGAACGAACTACGTGGGCTTTGATCCCGATTAAGTCGGGTACGTAGGCAACCAATAGGTTCGAGTCCAACTAATCAAAAATACTTTCTTACTTATGAGATTTTGCGTCAATAGACGTATGATCGAATCGTAAAAATAAATACCTAATTATTTGAATCTTATAATTTAATACGAAATAGGCCGCAAATAATAATACACCCAACATTTAAAAACTTATCGATTTAAGTAGTACCAATTTTGGACGTTGTGGGGTGTGAATACACTTCCCCACACGTAACCGTACTCCCGAACCCAAATCTCAAAATTCGCTGGCCAGATATCGTTTCGACCCTGAGGTCGAGACCGGACCAAAAATGGTGCTCGACCCACCACAAATAAGGTCGATGGCGACTCCGAGCAATTCGCGAGCGATCTCGATTTCGGATGCGACACTATTATCATGCTTTGTTTTGTTCCTTGCTTTCTTTTGGGTTGTTGTTTTTGTGTCCTTTCTTTTCCATTTGTTTGTCTAGTCTTTGATTTTCGCATTGTTGTTTAGTAAATTGAAATACATATGATTATGTTTATATTGGACATTTTAAGTGGTAGGTGGACTCAAACCAAAATTGCACAGCCGTGGCTCAAAAGTGCAAACTATTGTAAAGCCCAACTCTTCCTCTTCATCTCTGACATCAAACCGACTGTATCCTTTCTTCTGTTGTGGCCTATACATCCTCACTGGTGGCAATTTTCTTCTTCCTCACCTAAACTCAATCCCCGATCAGCAAACGACCTCACCCCACAAAAGTTAGAGAAGCGGTGTCGTGTCGGGGAGGTGACTCTCTTTTATATTGTACCAAAATTTATTCTATTATCATTAATTGGAGTTGTCGAAGAAAACCAACATCCAATTTATAAATTCTCGAATGAATGATGACCGACGGTACTGATCATAAGTCATAATGTTAAATCTACACGCATTTTGTCAATTAGGGATTAGGGAATAATAGGGGTGGCAATGGCTGAATGTGGGGTGGGTATGTTGGGAGGAATTGGGGATGGAATGGGGAGTTTGTGGTGAAAGGGGAGGAGATTAGGATGCATATTAGGGATATGATGGAGAACCAGAAGTTGAGGGGTCTCAAGCAGCGGAGGTCATGGAAGACATCAACAAGGTTGTTCACCTGGTGACGTGCGTGATAGACCGTTAATTACACATGTTTTCACCCCTGTTCTTAACCGTTTGAGATGTGGTTTCTCGTGTTTTAGACCGATTTCACGCTAGGTTGTGCTTGTTTGTGATATTTCAGGTCCTGGCAAGTGAATGAAGGTTTAGGAGCGAGTTCGGGGTCGATTGGGCGAAGATCGAGTGCGAGGCAAGTCACAAAGGAAGTCACACGGGCACACCCACAACCCACACGGCCGTGCAAGTGACCAGTTTGGTCGTGTGGGATTGTGCGAGACCTCGCACGGGCACAGATAATTTCCACACGGCCGTGTGAAGTTGCACTTTGGCCGTGTGGAATTCTGCGAGGCTTCACACGGCCATGCTGGGTGAGCTACACGGCCGTGTGACCCAGGCCGTGTAAGAAGCCTGGAATTCAACTAATCGATACGCAGCGTTTGGAGCTACACGGGCAACTGGGTGGGCCACACGGCCGTGTGGCCTGCCCGTGTGAGTCGGGATTTTCTGGTTTTAAGCCAATTTCCAGCCACAAGTCGGGGGGATTCGAGTTTTAGAGAGACAGAGCGATTCCTAGAGAGATAAAGCGACGAACAAGAGTCTCCAAGTGCCCTAGCTTGATCTTCATCACCATTGGAGCTTGGCTTGAGCTTGGAGGAGTGCCAATCAACGTCCAGGAGCAGGAATCCATCCTTCACAGTAAGAATTCCGCGTCTGAATCTGCTTTTGCTTCTTTCTCCATGGAGTAGTTCTCCCATTCATCTGGGTATGGAGAACCCTAGATTTGTATGTTAGGTTTGATTGTATGAACCCAAGTACTGATTCTATGATGTGATTATGTTCAATTGAGGTTGGAATGATTGAATGACTTGAATCCTGATCAAATTCCTGTTGTTTCTGCTTTAACCTAGAATGAGAATATCTGCCTAGGTTGATAGAGCATCCTTGATTGAAGGTAGGGAGTTGGTGACTTTAGTCGAGGAGCCAACTCACTATTCTGTAACGGATTTACTTCGGTAGTGGAGGTTTTGTTCATAGGGCCTCAATCTGTTTACTCCGGTGGAGGTTAGTCGCCCGCTAGAGACTCAGATTGAGAGGGTCTGAAGACCTTTAGTCAAGACTTCAGACTGCTTAAGAACCTTCCACAGTATAACTATCATAGAAACTGAACTTGGTAATTGCAATCCGGCTTAACTGCAGTCTAGGGGGAACCATATCCGGGTGACCTCTCTTAACCTGAATACAACAGTTTACTTGCTTTGTTTGTTTGGTAGTTTAGACTTGCATTAAAGTTTCATTGCTAGATAACAAGAATTCACCGAGTAGTCATCAAATCTAGGAGCCGGGTTGACATTTAAACCTAAACCCGCTATACTACACTTTAGGAAGTGGTTTCACTTGGCCAATTCCTGGAGTGACAGTAGGAGTGAGTCAAGTTTTTGGCGCCGTTGCCGGGGACGGCTAGGTTGTTGAAGAAAAGTGATTTCTGTTAATTTAGCTTTTCTTTTCGCTTTGTTTGCTTTGTCCCACTTGTGCCTTCACGGGTTTGTTTGCTTGAGTGTGTGCAGGTAGTGCATGACCCATAGCCAGTCGGGAGGTTTACTGTCGTTGAATCCAGAGATTGACCGCACCTGTCGCCAACTCAGGAAACAACAGCGAGCTAGACTGGCTACGGAAGAGCGCATAGACGGCCACCTGAGCAGCGATTCTGAGGAAGAGTACAGGATGGACGGAGAGTACAATCAACACCAGGGGAATCCTCAGCAGGCTCCCCCGGTGAATCAGGTCCTGGGGAACAACCCCATACCCCAGGATCATGGGGTTCATCATCCACCGCCGCCGGGTCCCACCTTGGAGTACTACTACACTCCACGGATTGCTGACATCCGCCCGGTCATCCTCTACCCACCTATTCCAGCAAACAACTTCGAAATCAAGCCATGCTGGATTCAGCTCATTACATCTTCTATCCAGTTCCGTGGCTTGAAGGATGAGGAGGCCAGGGTACATCTTTCCCGTTTCCTGCAGCTGACGAACGGGTTCAAACTGAATGGTGTCCCAGATGATGCAATCTGCCTTCACCTTTTCCCTCATTCTCTGGCGGGGAATGCTAAGAGGTGGTTGGAGACCCAGCCCCCATTGTCCATCACCTCTTGGGACGATCTGGCTGACAAATTCGTGCACAGGTACTATCCGGCATCGAAGACTACAGAGATCCGGCGGGAGATCACTCACTTCCGCCAAGAGCCTGATGAGTCACTTCGTGATGCATGGGAGCGGTACATGGGATATTTCTGGCAGTGTCCCCATCATGGTTTTAGTGATGCATTTACAGTGGGGAACTTCTACAGTGCTCTCTCTCTCTAGACAGCCAGAGGGTGATTGAGTCTCTATGCCCAGGAGGGGATATTCTTACTAAGACTCCACCCGAGCTGAACCAGATGATCAATACCTTGGCTGCCAGAGATCATTCTTGGGGGCAGAGCAGCAGAGGCAGACATTCCCGGGACCGTGGTGTGCACGCCATGGAGACCAGATCCGGGCTTGAGCAGCAGGTAGCTGAGTTAGTGCAGACATTGAAGCAGCCCAACAGTCTGATTTCGGGCAGAGGTTTGGCTACACCTCCAGTAGCTCAATGTTAGTGGTGTGAGAGCTCAAATCACCTAGTGGAGGACTGCTAGGCTATGAGGGAGTCTACTAATCCCCAAGAGCAGTTGGACTTCATCGCCAATGCTCGGCGCCTCAACCCGTACAGCAACACATATAATGAGGGGTGGCGCCAGCATCCCAATTTCGCCTGGAGCAACAACACCACTAAACCACCTGGTTTCCCAGCACCAGCCGGTGGTTTTCAGCAGAGGCAGCCCTTCCAGGCTCGAAGGGGCCAGCCCCACAGCAGCAGCCCTACCAGCCTAGGCAGGGGCAACCGTTCCAGCAGCCCCAGCGCCAGTTTGCCGAGCCAGCAGCAGCTCCTGCCCCAGATGATCGGATGACGAAGCTGGAAAATATTCTAGCCTCATTCATGACCAGCACTCAGGCAACTATCACGAGGTTGGACCAGAGCGTAGCCTCACTGGAGGCAGGTCAAAGGAACCAAGGTGCCATCTTGCAAGATCTGCAGCACCAGGTGGGTATCTTGGCCCGCCAAAACACTACCAGGGCACCGGGGACTCTGCCTGCCACCACTATTCCGAATCCTCGTGATCCTCACCGGCATCAGCAGCTGGATGCCATTTTTACCATGAGCGGTAAGACCATATCTGCTGATCCTGTCCCGGCCAGACAGGAGGAACCACTACCTGCTTCAGCACTTCCAGCCGACGATGCAGAAGTGCGGGTGGAGAAGGAAGCCCCGGCTCCCAAGCCACAACCAGCGGTTAAGGAGCATGTGCCCCAGCTTCCCTTCCCCACTCGCCTACACAAAGACAAGCTGGAGACTGAGTTTGCCAAGTTTATGGCAATGTTGAAGCAGCTCAACATCAGCATACCGTTCGTGGAGGCACTGTCGAAGATGCCCAAGTATGCCAAGTTCATGAAAGACCTCCTCACTGACAAGAAGAAACTTGGGGATCTTTCGACAGTGATGCTCAGTGAGGAGTGTTCTGCTATCCTGCAGAACAAGCTGCCCGAAAAGCGCAAGGATCTAGGGAGTTTTACTATCCCTCTTATTATTGGCAGCATGCATGTAGGCAAGTCCTTGGCGGACCTAGGCGCTAGCATAAATGTCATGCCATATAAGTTGTATAAAAAGCTAGACCTAGGTGAACTTAGCCCTACTAGGATGAGCATTCAGCTAGCTGATCATTCCATTGTGCATCCTAGGGGAATCATAAAGGATCTGCTTGTCAATGTCGGTGCATTCACATATCCTATTGATTTTGTTATTCTTGATATACATGAGGATGTGGATGTGCCTTTGATTCTAGGTAGACCATTTCTTGCCACCGCCAAGGCACTTATTGATGTGCATGATGGTAAACTGATCCTGCGTGATGGGAATGAACATGCTACTTTTTCTGTGACTGAATTCGATCATTGTGCTATGATTGCTGTCACACCTGTGCATGCCATTTCTGATCAGGTACACGAGCCTGTCGTGTATCCTTCTACACCTCTCATTTTGCAGGACCCTCCTATCATTCCTTCGCCGCCACCCCATCCAGTCTCGCCTCCGAACAAAAAGATCAAGGAGGAGTGGCAGCCGAAGCAACAGGTTGCTAAGCCTGCACGGAAGAAGGGTGGAGACCACTATGAGCTGGTCCCACCTCCGGCACCACGACGACCTTGGCCGTCCGGGTACTCACTCGCCTGCATCTTACCGGATGGCCAGGTCGAGCTGACCGATGATGGTGGTCGCATCCGTCGGGTGCATGGCCACAACCTGAAGCTGTACCTCAAGAGCGACGTGGATCCGCTCTTGGAGGCACCTGTTCCTGCACCTCCCTGAGTATCCACCATGGGCGTCCAGCTAAAAGACGGTAAAGAAGCGCTTGTGGGGAGGCAACCCCACCACGGTTTGACTTTCTTTCTTGTGTTTTGAGTCGGATTGTAAACCGGTTTGGTTTTGGTTTGTTTTCTTTTGTTTTGGATGATGTATTATTGGGCTGACCATTGGACCTAACATATTGTGTTTGAGCTCTTTGGTTTCCTTTAGCTGTGCTTGTCTTGACTAGTCCTCTCTCCAGTCCGCTTCACTCCGACTGGTCCGCTTCCCGTCTCCTGCAGTCCGTGCATACCGGTAACATCGTTCCCCTTTCCCTTCCCTCTTCTCCATTGAGGGCAATGTCGATCTTAAGTGTGGGGGGATGTTTATCTTTTGACTGCGTTAGATCTGTTTGTGTGCTTGGAGCCTAGTCCACTGTCCAAATTTTTAAATTTGAGGGCTCCAAGTACGTGTTTCCGTGCAATTGCCTGCTCAGTATGCTTTGAATTGACAGTCTTTATAGTAATATGCAACCTAGGGAGGTAGTGTAGCACTATGGAGGATGTTGATGCATTTAAGAAGTCTCACTGCTTCTTCATATTGTGTTGGTGGAGTGAGTGAATTAGTGATCTTAGGACCCTTGAATTGTGTGGTGTTGTGGACTCTCTACCTGTCATGGACTCTTGTTTCATGTTTTGAGTTTAACAGGTGCTCGAAAATGTGCTTTAAAATAACGTCTCCCGTGCGAATAGGGCGAAAGTGTGTAAGGGGAGACGGGAATTCGTTCTCAATTTCCACCTACTACCTCCAGCCCCCTTACATGTCTTTCCCCCGCACGAGGCTAGAGACATCCGCTCCTGGCATGGCCGGTAAGAGCTGGGCTCCTGCAAAACCTCTGCTAGGTGGGAGCCCCCATTTTCTGAAAAGCAGGTTGGGACCCTTAAAAAAAATAATAGAAAACAAGCAAAACAGAAAGAAAAGGGGTTCCAACCATCTTCAAGAAGAAAATAGAGCACCTTGAAAAATGTGAGTCCATGATCCTTTGTTTTTTAGAATCTTTTCATCCACAATTCATTTGTCCTCTGTTCACTATTTGTCATGATGCCGACACGATACTAGTGCTCTCGCCAAAGAAGCTATGAGATGACTTGTGCGTCGGTTGACCTCGTAAGTTGCTAAATGATCTAGGAAGTCCTCTACCTACGATCTGGGTTGTTTGTTGCTATAGAGGTCTGGAGAGTTGCATTGGTTTGAGTTTGGTTTGCTTAGGGACAAGCAAACGGTTAAGTGTGGGGGAGTTTGATAGACCGTTAATTACACATGTTTTCACCCCTGTTCTTACACCGTTTGAGATGTGGTTTCTCGTGTTTTAGACCGATTTCACGTTAGGTTGTGCTTGTTTGTGATATTTCAGATCCTGGCAAGTGAATGAAGGTTTAGGAGCGAGTTCGGGGTCGATTGGGCGAAGATCGGGCGCGAGGCAAGTCACAAAGGAAGTCACACGGGCACACCCACAACCCACACGGCCGTGCAAGTGACCAGTTTGGCCGTGTGGGATTGTGCGAGACCTCGCACGGGCAC